TCTTCTCCTCCTTCCTTCTCTTCCTCCTCCTCCTTCCTTCCTCTCCTCCTCCCCCCTTCCTCCTCTTCTTTCTTCTTCTTCTCCTCCTCCTCCTTCCTTCTCTTCCTCCTCCCTCCCTCCTCCTCCTCCTCCTCCTCCTCTTCTTTCTTCTCCTCCTTCCTTCTCTTCCTCCTCCTCCTCCCTTCCTTCTCTTCCTCCTCCCTCCCTCCTCCTCTTCTTCTTCTTCTCCTCCCCCTCCCTCCCTCCCTTTTCATTCATCCCAGTTGACTTTTCAATGACCCCCTCATTTACTGAGAAGGGTGGCCAGGGAGTGGAGAAGAGAAAATGCAAGGCATTCCCCCCCACCACCCCTTTGCTTTTTTCCAGAAATGGAGCAGACGGAAGAAGAGCTGCAGGAGGAGATTACCAAGGTGAGCCTCGAAAACGGCGTGGGGGGGTGGGGGTGTTAGCTGCTCCCCCCACACCCCGTGTTCTCAATTGCCCTCCTAAACCTCAGCTGTGAACACACACTCTGCTCTTTTCATTAACTCCGCCGAGATCCCCGATCGGCCGTCCCGGGGATTAACATGATCAGTTTTGCTAACAGTCGGCTTAATCTCGGGCCGGCTCGTAAGCAGCTGGATGCGATTGAGTCCCAGAGGGTTAAACCCGGGCCCCGGCGAGAGGGGGGAAAGCCGGGGTAGGCAGGGAACGGACAAGGCCGGAATTAGCCAGGAGACAGAGTGCGGGCTCCCGCGGCCGGGAAGGAAGGGCTCCCCAAATGCGCCCTTTCCCTGCAGCGAGAGGAATGTGAGACTTTGCCTTCTAGAGCAGAACCTGAGAAGTAGTTATTTCCCCCCCCCCCAACGGTGATCTAGGGCAGGCTTTGGTCCCTAGGGTGCAGGTGTTCCCGAATTAAAGCTGCAGATGCGTTTTGATTTTTTAAAATGCACATTTTCTGGGTCTTCTCTCAGAGCAGTCTCCCAGACAGCAAAAATGAACCAGAGCCTCGTGGCCCTTTTTAATAGACGTACGTCGATTTGGTTCCGAGTTTCCGTAGGCGAAAGCTTGCCCTGTCGGAAACATCTGATGAAGCTGTCTGTAATCCAAAGAAACGTGTGCTAAATTGAAATCCCGTTAGTTCTTTAAAAGGCCCCGTGAGACTCCGCTTAAAACGGTCTCCCTGCGGCCCGTCTTCTCGCTAGCGCGGGGTGGGGGCGGTGCTTTCCACCGAGGGCGCAGCTCGCGGGACTCCCACACTGGTGTTAGCTGCCGCACGGGCTGCCTCGGAGAATCCCAAACGCCTCCTAACTCTCCCTCCCTTGGAACGGTCTCGTTTACAAAAGGAAACAGTGTTCCCTCAAAACTGAGTCAGTGTGAGCTAGCTGACAGTCTTTTAGCCTCCGGCTCGCACATTTTTGTCTTCGCTCAGGAAGGATGGCTCCAGAGCAGACTAATTTATGCAGCAGCCAAATCGCTCGCTCACGACTCTAAATGCCAGTAGCTCACAAAAGTAGCATTTTCGCTCACAGGACTCCACGCGCGTGGGGAGAAGGCAGTATTGGCAGCCCAAGCAAACGGGCTTTCAGTTGACCTAACCGTGAGTCCCCGTGGGGGCCCTTAGACTTTCCCGGACATCACCTGTGTCCCTCCCCTTGAGATGCTGCAGTCATGTGACGGAAAAGAGGAGGATCCCTCTCTTGGCTAAAAAGGAGTCCTCTGCATGCCTGCGTGACCTCACCTCTCTGTCCGGGTGCTTTTCTCGGCATGCATGCAGAGAAGAAGCCGGAAATACGGCCCCCGGCGTTCCACGGATGTGTGCCAGCGTCAGACCCCAAAAAAGAGGGAGGAGGAGGCTTGGTGACTCAGCGGATGGGGCTCCGTGTCCCATTCCGAAGGTCCCGATCCAGGCTAAGGTGTTCTGAGCATCCCGTCTCAACAGCAAGGAGGACCGTCGTTCCGCCCCTTCCTGTTTTATTAGCTTGGATTGACAGCAGCCGTATTCAGATCCTTTTAACTAGAGATGACGGGGATTTAACTCGGGATCCGCGCACGAAGAGCATATGTGCTCTTAACCGCTGAGCCGCGGGCCTCCCTCCTCACGGCCGTGCGCGTACCAGAGGCTTAGAGCACCCGTGCCAAATCCCTTATCACTGCTCCTAACCACTATAGCAATCTGGCTCTCAGTAGCCCCACCTGGCTGATGCCCACTTTCTAATAACACGTGGCAGGTGCTAGGAAGAGTGTCGGCGGGCACAGCGTTACGGAACCCCGTCCTACGGGTTCACCTAAGTCAGCTGCTGCTTGACAGCATTTCCCCGCCACCATCAGAGGGGGGACGGGTTACCTGAGCCCACCTTAAGTTCCCCATATTTGAGAAGACCATGTGAAGTGCTGTCAGCTGCGCTCCCACGGCCGTGCGCGTACCAGAGGCTTAGAGCACCCGTGCCAAATCCCTTATGCCTTTTTTGTGGGTTTTTTTTTTTTTTGGAGATTAAGTGATGAACTTGGTTCCAAAGGGGGCGGTGGTCCCACCATATGGTTTCCCGTAAAAGGCTTCTGTGGTCACACCACGTGACGACGGTGGGGTCGAGGAGGGGGTGGCACGCCCGGCCAGCTAGCTGGGGGGGGGGAGGCATTTGGGGTGGGGTTACTGGGAAAAGGGAGGGCTTTTCGGACAGAAATACCCTCTCTCTGCATTGCTGCCTGGCGACGAGGAATCACTTTGGGTAACCCATCAAGCTTTTACTGGACAGTCAGGGAGGTTCCCCCCTCCCTTCCCTCCAGCAGAACTTTCGAGCACACAGCCCTCCTCAACCGCAGTCTGAAAGCTAGCAGGTCAAGGTGAAAGGCTGGAATCGTGCTTTCTCCCAGGCATGCTAGTTTTCTGTGTGAGGGTCCCCCCCCAAGGGGAGGGGATATTCAGCCATGCAGTTCTCCACCAACAGCCCTGTCTAGGAGAAGCTTCTGCCGATGGTCGGAATTCCCCGCAGGTGGAAAATCAGCATGTCAGCGAGTGCGAGGGTTGAAGCCTACTTCTCTCACTGACACGACGGCATGGAATTTGTATTCGTGCCTGTAGCTTCACGCTCACCACCAGCGGCCAGAAGCGGTACGATCCAGGAAAGGTGTATGAATTGGCTGTCATAACAGAATGATCAGTGGTCCTCAGCTAGCGTTGTCGCCCTAGAGCAGGGGTCCCCATCTAAGCGCCCTATAAGCCAGGGTGTCAAACATGCGGCCCAGGGGCCGAATTAGGCCCCCGAAGGGTTTCTATCAAGCCCTCAGTGGAACTGGCTGTCTTCTGCTTCTTCTTCCAGTTCTGCTGCTGCTGAGTCATCGTGGGTTTGCAGCTTACAGATGCGCACCTGAGCAGCATACTCAAGATTGCAACAGCACAGGACATTGTGGTGCAATAATTCAGAGCAAGAGGTGTCAGTTATCCGACACTGTTAAATAAACAAAATATTTCAAGAGTGCTACTGTTTTAAGCATGTTTTTATGTCAAGTAAAAAGAACAACAACCCTTTATGGTTGTGTCCTTTATAAAGTTTATATCTCTGCTCCCTGGCATTACCTTTTAGGACACACATGGCCCGGCCCAACAAGGTCTCGGTTTATGTCGGATCTGACCCTCGTAACAAATGAGTTCGACACCCCTACTCTAGGCTGTAGGGTCTCGTGAGCAAAAATCCTACTTTGTGAGCTGCCGGCATTAAAGTTGTGAGCGAGCGATTCGGCTCCTGCATAATTTAGTTTGCTCCGGAGCCGTCTTTCCTGAGTGAAGGCAAAAATGTGTGAGCCGGAGGCTAAAACACTGTGAGCTGGCTCACACTAGCTCAGCCGGACACAGTGGAGCCTGGTTTTCTGGGGTTAGTGCAGCGTTGGCCTCTCGGCAGCACGTTTTTCCAGCACATTTCTAAAACAAAAGAGAGGGGTGCTTGTCCCCCTCTTTTTGATTACCCATTACCGGCCGTACGGAGCAAGGGCTTTGGAGCCCGGGTTGGAATTGCAGCATTTTCCTCACTGGGACTCTCTCTCCCTCGCAGGCGAACGTGGTCTGCATGGTGTACGACGTGACGGAAGAATCCAGCATCGACAAGGTGGGGGGGACTGGCCCTCGTCGGTCTGGCGTGTTCGCGAGCTGACTTTGTTGTACCCTTTCCCGGGAGATGCCTTGTGGATAAAGCGACCCACACGCTCTGACTCACGTGCGGCCCGAAAAAGTAGCCGGCGGGGGGGACGGGGACGGGACGACGCAGGCAGGATCTCTGCGATGGCTTTATGTAACTGTTCCAGAAGGACCCGATGGAACGGCCGCTAACGGAGCCAGATGGCAGATCGCCCTGAAGGGGGGGGTCCGCAGGCAGGCGGACTGGCTGGTTGCCTCCGCTTTCTCTCTGAAGCAGCCCTTCAGAAAGGCCTTGGCAGGAGACGCTCCCAGAAGGGTCTCTCTTGTGAAGTGCCCTGGCAAGGGGCAGTCTCAGGGGGGAGGTGCTAGAGGCTGTTCCCGTGCTGGCAGCGGGTGAAGTGTATTCTGGCGCCCTTCATCAGAGCTGCAGGTGCCCCTTGGCTGCAGGTGCCCCTTGTGAGTGCCATTTTGGGGTAGTGGTGAAGTGCGCGGATTCTAATCTGGGAGAACCGGGTTTGATTCCCCACGCCTCCACTTGCAGCTGCTGGATGACCTTGGGCAAGCCATAGTTCTGTCAGAGCTGTCTTGAAATGTATTCTGGTGCCCTTCATCAGAGCTGCAGGTGCCCCTTGGCTGCAGGTGCCCCCTGTGAGAGCCATTTTGGCGTAGCGGTGAAGTGCGCGGATTCTAATCAGGGAGAACCAGGTTTGATTCCCCACTTCTCCACTTGCACCTGGCTGGATAACCTTGGGCAAGCCATAGTTCTGTCAGAGCTGTCCTTGAAAGAGCAGTTCTGGAAAGAGTTCTCTCAGTCCCACCTACCTCCCGGGGTGTCTGTTGTGGGGAGGGAAAGGGAAAGGAGGTTGTAAGCCGCTCTGAGACTCCGAGTAAAGGGCGGGGTATAAATCCAATCTCTTCTTTTTCTACCTGCTCTGTTTGGTGCAGTGGTTAGGAGTGCAGACTCTAATCTGGGAGAACCAGGTTTGATTCCCCCACCCCTCCACATCCAGCTGCTGGTGTGACTTTGAGTCAGTCACAAGTTCTCTCACGAGCAGTTCTCTCAGAGCTCTCTCAGCCCCACCTACCTCACAGGGTGTCTGTTGTGGGGAGGGGAAGGGGAAGGAGGTTGTAAGCCACTCTGAGACTCCTTTGGGTAGTGAAGGGCTGGATGTATATCCAATCTCTTCACTTCTTCTTCTTCTTGAAAGAGCGGGTCTCAAGAGAGCTCTCTCAGCCCCGCCTACCTCACAGCGCAATGTTCCCTCTAAGCTGTGGAGTCTGATGAGCAAAAATTCTACTTTGTGAGCTACTGGCATTAAAGTAATGAGCGAGCAATTTGGCTACTGCATCAATTAGGTTGCTCTGGAGCTGTCCTTCCTGAGCTAAGACAAAAGTCTGTGAGTTGGAAGCTAAAAAACTGTGAGCTAGCTCACACTAACTCAGCTTAGAGGGAACACTGCTCACAGGGTGTCTGTTGTGGGGAGGGGAAGGGGAAGGAGATTGTAAGCCACTCTGAGACACCTTCGGGTACCGAAGGGCAGAGTATAAATCCAATCTCTCTTCTTTGCTGGTGACCTGTGTTAATTGATAGCCTGGTGTGCCTTTTTTTGGGGGGGTGGACTGTGTAGCCTTTGGATGCCCCCGGTTTTTGATTTTAGAGGGCTCGCTCCCGCCAGGGCTCCCCTTCTCTGTCTGTTTCCTTTCCTTCTAGTAGACGGTTCCCCCGTCCTCTCTAAAAACAGCGTCTTCCAGCATGGGTTCTTTTTTTTTTTTTTTTTTGGCGGCTCTGTCTTTCAGATTCGGACAAAGTGGATCCCCATGGTGAACGGCGGTGCTGAAAAGGGCTCCAGGTACTGTGACGTCAGACCGGGTGGGCCTCAAAGGCAGGCACGGGGGTCTCCTGCACTTCCTTCTCCAGCCCTTTTCATCTCTTTCGGGGGAGACCCCTTTTATTTTCAGTTGGAGAAGGTGTAGAATTCTGCACTGCTCTCCTGTTTCGGAGGCGGGCCGAAGGCCCCCCCCCGCAAGGGGCCGAGGAGGTGGTCCTAGCAGGGCTTCTCAGAGAGGAGGCACTTCTTCCTAATGGATACGCTGACAACGCTGCCTTGTTCCAAGTCTGTGCCAAGGCAATAGGGAACCCTTAGCATACAAGTATAGCCACCAATAGGAGCTGCGGTGGCTCAAGTGGTTAAGACGCTGAACTGCAGGCTGTGGAAGGTCGGTAGTTCAGCAGTTCGAGGCCCGCGTGTGCCGCGTGACGGAGTGAGCTCCCGCCTCTCGTTCCAGCTCCTGCCAACCTAGCAGTTTGAAAGCAAGAAATTGCAAGTAGATAAATAGGTACCACTTAGATGGGAAGGTAACAGCGTTCCGTGTGCCTTGGTGTTTAGTCATGCCGGCCACGTGACCACGGAGACGTCTTCGGACAGCGCTGGCTCTTCGGCTTTGAAACGGAGATGAGCACCGCAACCCTAGAGTCGGATTCAACTGGCTTTCGAGCAAGGGAACCTTTATCTTTACCTATAGCCACCAATAACACCCACCGACAGTGTTCCCTCTAAGCTGAGTTAGTGCGAGCTAGCTCACAGTTTTTGAGCCTCCAGGGCACCCATTTTTGCCTTCGCTCAGGAAGGATGGCTCCAGAGCAAACTAATTCATGCAGTAGCCAAATCGCTCGCTCACAACTTTGATGCCAGTAGCTCACAAAGTCGGATTTTTGCTCACAGGACTCCATAGCTTAGAGGTATCATTACCAAGGGAAGACCATCAACGATTCTCAACTATATATGCTCAAAACTGTATGTTACATTCATTTTAAAGTACAGAGATGGGTCAGTGGTCATAGAATATATAAGCACATATCCAACAGATTGCTCATAACGATTTGAGCATTGTTTACAAAAAAGGACATGTTCAGAAACCAACAGTGGGTAACGCAGTTTAAAACTCCCTTTCAGTTGCAGATGAAAGAAACAAAGAGTTGCTCCTAACTAAACGATTGCATCAATTTCATGAGCCGAAGGGTTTGTCGAATAGTCAAAGCCTACTTCAGTCCCTTTTGGGATTCTCTCGAGGCCAGGAAGTCTTCCCCGACTGGTTGATCTAACAGAATGTGCAAATCTACCTTTCCTGGCTTTGTGTCGGCGCAGACAGAGGCGCAGGGCAGCAGCTTGCCGGTGGGACGTTCGTAACCCCCCCCCCTTCTCCTCCAAACGCTTTCTTCCCCTCTTTCCTAGAATCCCCATCATCCTCGTGGGCAACAAGTCGGACCTGCAGACGGGCAGCTCTATGGAAACCATCTTGCCCATCATGAACCAGTTCTCGGAGATCGAGACCTGCGTGGAGGTGGGGAAGCCGTCGGGGGAGGCGCGTCGGGAGGGAGAAATGGGGGGAGGCGTTTGTCATGCCGCGTTCTATTTATATATTTATTACTTATTTATTGTTTTAATTTACAGCCCACCCTCCCCGCAAGCGGGCTCAGGGCGGCTCACAGATAGGGCAAATGCCAATACATAAAACAAGTTAAAAACAACATCATGAAATTTTATTGAAATAAACACCCAGCCACTGCAGTGGCTTGCTCGCAAGAAGGCTTCCCGCAATGACTTTAAAAAACTAGACTGGAGTGCAAATATTCAGAGGGCCTGCAATAAGTAAAATCAAGCTCAAAACATAGAGTTGGAAGGGACCTCCCGGGTCATCTAGTCCAACCCCCTGCACAAGGCAGGGAATTCACAAATACCTCCCCCCACCCCACCCCCAGGTGACCCCTGTTCCATGGCCGAAGATGACAAAAGACCTCCAGGATCTCCGGCCAAACTGGCCTGGAGAACAATGGCTTCCTGACCCCCGAGTGGCGATCGGCATTTCCCTGGGCGTGCAAGAAAGGGCCACGAGAACTAAGCACTGATGCGACCCTTCCCGCTCTCCCTCTCGTGGTCTGCCCAAGTTCACAAGCTCAGCTAGCACTCAAAGGGACGGAGCCAAAGGCAATACGGTTCCTTCGCAGAGGCCATCGTTAAAAGGGATTGCACAGTCAGTGGTTCTTCAGCAAGCCAGCACTCTCTCCAGAAAAGGAAACCGAGCGGGAACAACAGCTTCTTCGTGCCGAGTTCAGACTTTGCCCCGCCGAACTCAGTGTTCTAACTGGGCGTGGCTCTCGGCGATGTGTCGGGCAGAGAGCGGTCCTTTGACAAGACCTGGCGGCCTGAGCCCTTAAGAACATAAGAGACGCCAATGTTGGATCAGGCCAAAGGCCCATCCCGTCCAACACTCTGTGTCACACAGTGGCCAGAAATACCAGTGCCATCAGGAGGTCCACCAGTGGGGCCAGGACACTAGAAGCCCTCCCACTGTTGACCCCCCCCCAAGCACCAAGAAGACACGAGCATCACTTGCCCCAGAGCCCCTATCTATACCTTGTGGCTAATAGCCACTGATGGACCTCTGCTCCGTATGCTTATCTAATTCCCTTTTGAAGCCGTCCATGCTTGTAGCCCTTTGACCGGAGGGGGTGTGGCTCGAACCCGGGGACCGTCTGAGCCTTACAGTCCCTCTCCCCCCCCCAAACCGGTTCCCTTTTAGGATGGCTTCTTGCATTCGTCAGTCTGTGTCTTCCCCCTTTGCCTTCACGGTCCTAGAGCATTCTAGCGACCCAGCCAGAAATTCCTCGCCCCTCACCTGATTGGTCTTCTCTTTCTCCCCGCCCCAGTGTTCCGCGAAGAACCTGAAGAACATCTCCGAGCTCTTCTACTACGCCCAGAAGGCGGTCCTGCACCCGACAGCCCCGCTTTACGACCCGGAGGACAAACAGGTGGGATGCCGCATCTCGGGCCCGCAAACCAGGAAGCTCTGTACGTGGGGGAAACCCCAAGTCCAGCCCTCCAGAAAACTATCTCCCGGGGAGCTTTGTGTTCGATGAGGCGGGGGCTCTGTGCTGCCCAGCTCGGGTAGCGGTCCCGGGGCGTTACCAGGCCAGTTCGGCTTTTTGCCCTCTCCAATGGCGGCAGCTCCAGACTCCCTTTTAAAGCCCTGACCCGGATAGCCCAGGCAAGCCGGATCTCGGAAGCGAAGCAGGGCCGACCCTGGCAAGCACTTGGATGGGAGATCTCCAAGGAATACTAGAAGTGGGAGGCGGGGGCAGGCTATCAAGCCACTTCTCTGAATGTCCTCCGTGCCCCAGTAGGAGTCGCCAGAGGTCACCACTCACTTCCGTCTCCAAGGCCGTCCCGTGAATTTATGGCCCAAGAGGGATTTGAAGCCACGGTGGTCTTGTCTAATGCTGAGGCCCACTTTATCTGGCCATGCTGTCTGGCCTGATGGCTTCCGTGCCAGTTTTGAGAGCCGGTTTGGTGTAGAAGAAGAAGAGATTGGATTTATACCCCGCCCTTCACTCGGAGTCTCAGAGCGGCTTACAACCGGGGAATCAAACCCGGTTCTCCCAGATTAGAGTCCGCCCACTTAACCACTATACCAAACTGTAGTGGTTAAGTATGCGGACTCTAATCTGGGAGAACCGGGTTTGATTCCCCACTCCTCCACTTGCACCTGCTGATGTGACCTTGGGTCAGTCGCAAGCTCTGGCACAGCTGTCCTTGAAAAAGAGCAGTTTGTGTCCGAGTTCTCTCAGCCCCACCCACCTCACAGGGTGTCTGTTGTGGGGAGGAGAAGGGAAAGGAGTTTGTAAGCCGCTCTGAGACTCCAAGTGAAGGGCAGGGTATAAATCCAATCTTCTCCTCCTCCTCCTCCTCCAGTGGACCCTCTGTGCTGGTAGTTGGTCGCGTTCTGGAAGAGAAGAGAGAAGAGATTGGATTTATACCCCACCCTTAACTACCCAAACGTGTCTCAGAGCGGCTTCCAATCTCCTTTCCCTTCCCCTCCCCACAACAGACACCCTGTGAGGTCGGTGGGGCCGAGAGAGCTCTGGGAGAACTGCCCTTGAGAGAATAGCTCTGAGAGAACTTGTGACTGACCCAAGGTCACACCATCAGCTGCATGTGGAGGAGTGGGGACTCAAACCCGGTCCTCCCAGATTAGAATCCGCGCTCCTCACCACGACACCGGACTGGATCTCTGAAGGGCGGGATACTTTCCCCAGCCTCCTCTTCTAAACCACCCCACCTCCTTTCCTTCCCTCCCGACCTCGGTCTCCCGCAGCTGAGGCCAGCGTGTGCACGAGCCCTCACTCGGATCTTCAATATGTCCGACCAGGATAACAACCAGATCCTAAGTGACGAGGAGCTGAATTATTTCCAGGTACGTTCTCCCGTGGCGATGCTGTTAAGGGGGCTAGCGGGGGGGGGGGGGGGGGGGGCCTGGAAACCTCTGTGTAATTTCAGGATCTTTGGGAGTCCGGACTTTTGAGGTCCCCGCTGATTTTGAAAGTGGGGTTTCTAGTCCTCGTGGTTGGAGAAGAGCTCAAGAACGCATTCACCGTGCCTTCACATCTTTTGTAATCTAATTCAGTTCACTGGCTCATGGTGGAAAGGAGTGCGCGTTTCCACCTTCTTGCCGTTTAAAGAGGCCACGGGAAGAGAGCTGTAAACTCGAACTCTCGCGCCTCTGTGTGCCGGAAATGACTGTCAATCAGCCCGTTGCAGGGATGCTGTGGGATGTCTAACTAAAGACTTCAATTCCCAGGGACCACTGCTCTTAAAGATATATGGCAGTTCTACTTAACCACAGTTAAACGCTGGCTGGGGGCAGCACAGTGCCGGTTTCAGAAACCGGAAGCGTTCGGGGACGCAGGTCGTCGGGGTGCGACAACCCCCTTCTCCAGAGAGAGTCTCAGTTTCTCATTTTGCCCCGTGTGTCTCTTGGGAGGTAGAAATCCTGCTTCGGGAATCCATTGGCCCCCCAGGCTCTAGAAGACGTGAAGATGGTGGTGTGGAAGAACACGACGGACGGAGTCCAGGACAACGGCCTGACGCTCAACGGTAACCGAGCTCCGTGCAGACGTTGCTGTGTGGCTCTCACTCTGCAGTTTTTCATGGGCAGAAAGGGGGGGACAGCAAAGCAAACCTCCGTGGGTCACACAAGGCTATCCTTCGAACCCACAGCGCTCTGAGGGGTTTGGCCCGTAGGCCAGAGTCGCTGCCGATTCGAGCCCGCCCGCGTGCCCCATTCTGAAAGTTTTCCCCTTTGCTTGAACAAGAGTTTTTAACTGCCGGTCGGAACTCAGGAACGGTCTGGTTCGGTTTCGATAAAGCGGGGGGACCCATTTGACGGTTGTACTTCTTGAACGGGGGCGAATGGGAGGAGTGATTTTACTGCTGCACATTGATTAGTTGGGGGGGGGGCGGGAAGCGCAGAGGCCTTGAGACCAGTTTCCGATGGGTCGCCACGTTGCTCTGTAGCCAGAGATCCCGTAGCACCTTCAAATCCAACGACATTTCCAGGGTATAAGCGTTCAAGAATCCAAGTTCTCTTCTTCTGGACTCAAGCGTCGCCCTTCCCACGACCAGCGGTTTCTAGTTGAGAGCGTTTAAAAGTTAACACAAGCGGGTGATTATGCCACTCGAGCCATCCAGAGCTCTTCATTTCCTCGATGGCTTTACAACCACATCCGCGAGTTACCAAAATTGATTTGGTTTTAATGCCTTCCTTCCAGGAAGCTCGGGGCGGGTTAAATAGTCCTCTCTCTCATTCCCGCAGTCCTGTGAAGTCAGTTAGGCTGAGGAGAAGAGAGAACGGCCCAGGGTCCCCCAGTCGATTCCATAGCTGGGGGAGGACTTGAATCCGGGTCCCTGCAGTCTTAATTGCATGCTGTGTGACCACTCCTTTGTAGTGGTCAATGACACACGTATGCAGACAGTTATTGCAAAGGGAGAGGTCCATCAGTGGCTGTTAGCCACGAGGTATAGATAGGAACTCTCAGTCTGGGGCAAGGGATGCTCTGTATTCTTGGTGCTTGGGGGAAGGTGGGCAACAGTGGGAGGGCTTCTAATGTCCTGGCCCCACTGTTGGACCTCCTGAGGGCACCTGGTATTTTTGACCACTGTGTGACACGGAGTGTTGGACTGGATGGGCCACTGGCCAGATCCAACATTGGCTTCTCTTACATTCTTATGTCTGGGGCAAGGGATGCTCTGTCTTCTTGGTGCTTGGGGGGGGGTCAACAGTGGGAGGGCTTCTGGTGTCCTGGCCCCACTGCTGGACCTCCTGATGGCACTGGTATTTCTGGCCACTGTGTGATACAGAGTGTTGGACTGGAAGAGCCTTTGGCCTGACCCAACATTGGCATCTCTTATGTTCTTATGTTATGTTCTAAACCACTTCCTGTTCTCGCCTCCAGGCTTCCTCTTCCTCAATACCCTCTTCATCCAGAGGGGGCGCCACGAGACCACGTGGACCATCCTGCGCCGCTTTGGCTACGACGAG